TTTTTCTCTTTTATTTCATTCAGATTACCAGTTATCATCCATATACGATGAGTATACTTTTCCCTGCTGGCTTTTAATTTGGATGCTTGCATTGCCTCCCCCTTGCTTGATCATACATATGCATATATGCATGGATGATGCATTGTACAGCGAAAAGTTTGCACCGATCAGATGAGGAGCGGTGGAGACAGAGGGAACAATCGATCATATGTCTTGGCTTGGTCTGTGTTGTGATCAGCTGTAGAGAGAGAGAGAGAGAGAGAGAGAGAGAGAGAGGGAGAGGTGCTGCAACCGCAAAGCAGCGTCATCGCTTGAGCTGCTGCCGAGTTCGTCGCCTTCGCTAGTATATATGTGTGCTCCAGAAATACTAGAATAATTTACCTAGGCTAAATGTATATTTTCATTTTACCTTACCTTACTGGAACACACACTACACATATATAATGTGATTCCTCAGCAGGTCACATTTCCAATATGTGTGTTCCATTCAGCTTGCTCGGCTGTAATCCCACTCTTCTAATGCACTGATATAGTGATATCTGGTCCTTTGCCTTTCATTTTAGATTTTATTAATGATGCTGGGGCCGACCTTCCTGATGAGGATGTTGTTAGGGGCTCAAGACTACTACTACAACTACTACTACTACAAGTACTACTACAAGTACTACTACTACTACTTGTACTACTAGTACTACTACTTCTACCACTAGTACTACTACTTCTACTACTTATACTATTTTTTTCTTGCATCTCTTAGAACAAGGCACGAAATATCGCGAACATCAAAGAGTGTATCCCGATGCCCCGTGAATGATGAGCAGCCATCCCATGGAGAGCAAGAACTAGATGACCAGCTTACTCAGGAGCAGTTCGATAACGAGTTAGAAAAGGGTCTAGAAGTGATGCTTACTCAGGAGGACCTTGTCGATGATTAGGATCCAGTGGGGGGAGCCCAGGGAAGAGAAGGCGGAGAGGATGCCCAAGGCGAAGAAGGGGATGATGATGACGACACCTCATCAGGGGGATATGTAAGTCCCGAGGATCCTTTCCCACAAGAACCCAGACGGAGGCCAACGGAGGACGAGTTGGACAAGGATTTTGATCCAAACGACGAGGTACGGATAAATCCTTAGTAGCTTGTAAATTTGGCTAATGCTATGGCTTTATGTTACCTCTGCTAACACTTTTGACCTGCCGGATACACAGGTCGTCCCTACTCAACCTCTGAAAAGATGACGTCGGCCTCTGGCTCGTCTTGCCGGACAATACGTAGCGGGGCAAAGGAGATCAGAGGAAGGAGTCACAGATACTCACAATGAGGCCTCCGCTCCACAACCTCAGGACACAACCATGACTAAGACTGCCCAGCCAAAGAGGAAACGAGGGGGATTAGAAAGCCAAACCAATATCACGACAAGGCATGCTATGTGATTACGGAGGTCGGGCCAGACAGGCAGATCCTTGAGCCATATACATACAGGGTGAAATTCCTTAATCACATCGGGTTTGTAGTTAGAGATAAGTTGAACCCAGCTATCCGTGGCTGGAATCTTGTACCTATGAGCCAAAAGGTAAACCTATGGGAGAAGCTAAAGCAGAACTTCAGGTTTCCAGAGAGAACGCACGAGTTGGTACAACAAAATGCTTTTAAGATAATGGGCAGAGCTTCCGACGTTGGTGGTCGGATCTGAACAAGAACTTTATCCAAAAGAAGTTAAGTCCTTTCCACGAGTATGGCAACATAACTCCTAGTCAATGGGAGGAGCTCGTGGCTGAGAAGACTTCAGAGGCATCATTGGCCCTCAGTGCCCGTAACAGCGAGCAGGCGAAGAAGAACCAACACTACCCTCGTCTAGGCCCCGGTGTCTACGCTGGCAAGCAAGAGGTCTTTAGGAAGATGGACGTAGAGGCCGAAGCTGCCGAGAATATGGAAGTGCCGAATTTGAAGCCACGCCTCAAACAGTGGATATACGCGAGGAGTGTGGATTCATCCGGTAGTAGCCTCAAGTTTGCTAAGCCGGAGATCGGAGAGGTAGTATCAAAGATACTGAAACTTGTTGAAGACAAGGAGAAGGGCGCATTCAATCCTTCCAGAGAGAGGGACGAGCTTACCGTTGCCTTGGGAAACCCTGAGCACACAGGACGCACCAGGGGGCTAGGGAAGAGGATGTCCTGGAAGCACAGATTCGTAAAGGAGAGGCACATGTACAAGAAACATGGCAGAGACCAAGAGTCTAATCTTGAGCGCCAAGTGAAGGCTCTAGTTGAAAAGATGTTGGTGGAGAAAGGACTATCTACGATGGAGCCACAGACACCAATGGGGCCACCCGGACAACTGGCGGTAGTTGGCAGCCCTCCGGATGTTCCCAGCAGTCAAGGTTCCAATGCAACCAGAACCCCCGTCGATCACATACGGGCGCCAAACAGTTGCAAATTAGTGGTTCCGATGGGCAGGCAAAACGTGATCATTGAGGTGGCAACGGGCGTGACACATCCTCCGGGCGGCACGTGGCACAATAGGGACATCCCGCAGGACTACACTCGGGTCGAGGTGCATACCGTGAAGCCCGAGTTCATGACTTGGAAGATAGAACACCCTACTCCCGAGGGGCTCGTGTTACTCGGAGACGTCATGAACCAGTTCATCCTCTGGCACAGACGGGACATTGTATTGACCGAGTCTTCGCCAACTCTGACTGAAGTTCATCCTCTGGAGCGACCCATCGAGGACGGGGAGGTATACTCACCGGCCCATGACCATGACCACCACACGCTAGAGACTTCTTCACCTCGTACCGAGCAAGGGCATGATGACATGCCACATCCTTCTCCACCTCATATCGAGCATGGACATGATGACATGCCACGTCCTTCTCCAGCTCGTACCAAGCAAAGGCATGATGAGATGCAACATCCTTCTCAACAAGTGCAGCCGATACATGAACAACAAGGTCTCATGAACAACAATTGCCTCGTGAACAGCCGATACGTGAAGAACAAGTGGCCCCTGGAGCAGGCGATGCACAAGTTGACAAGGACGTGCCCGAATGGGAAGCTCGAAACAAAATCCCAATCAAGATAAGGCCATCGTATGTGGGCATTAATGACGTCTCGTCGGTGCACAAGTGGATGGCCCATGACCAGTTCAAGGCTAAGAACCAAGTAAAAGAATTCAGAACACCAGCTTCTGAGGAGGGCACCACTAGCAAATTGCACAAAGGGTTTAATAAGTATCCAGCTGTTGATAACCTCAAATGGTCAAATGATTGCCCGGATAAATTTGAAAAAGGCAAGAACTTCCTACCAAACCGAGTCATACAGTGCTTGCCACGTGCAATGAGAAAGTTTCACGATTGGTACTTGCGTGCTCAGATAACAGAACTAGAAATCTTACAAGCATGGATCCCTGCCGACACATTTGGAGCCCCAGGTGGGCAAATTGCCATTGAGTTTAAGGATATCCAAGCATGCTTCCACCTCGGACGAATGGAAATAAATCTAATTCGCATATGGTGCCTGTAAGTCCTTGCCCTCTCGATATGATACGAATGTAATCTTTTAATTTTGTTGTAACTAACCCGTGCCATGATTTGTAGAATGCAAGCAGACTTTGTGAAAAAGAGGCCAGCTCTGAAACACGGGTATATAGACCCTTCACTTATAGCATCAACAAATTTTAATTACCATAAAAAGTGGAAACTAGATTATAAAGAACTAAGAGCTGGAAAGACACTTAAGGAGAAAGAGGACATCAGGAACAAGAAAATATTAGAAGAGTCCCTCATGGTTGCGGCATACATTGCCCTATGTTTTAAAAATCTTCAACAACACGATAATATATGAATACCATACCACTTCAAGTAAGTTCGACTGTATACTTAGCTTTGTTCAATATACTTTGTTCGATGCAAAAGAGCTTATGTGTTCCTTCTATGACTAAATTCATGCAGCAATCACTGGATTTGCATAGGCGTCTAGCTCTCACATAGCATGGCATGGGTCTTTGATTCAGCGGATTTCCCAGTCGAGACATTCAAAGACTTCATAGTGATTGTCAAGACGTATACATATTGACAATTCTTATTTTAGCTACTATGTTTGTATACATACTTGTAAGGTTCAATGTGGGATACTAACAAGTTGTATTTGCTAAAATCATTGGAACAGGGCATTCAGGCACTATGTCTTGGAACATAAGGGGAGGCATCATCCAAAAAGAAAGGAAAAGTTATATGTCAAAACTCTATGTGTGGTAAGTGTCATTTACTTTGGTACTCCATATATTACGTGTCTGTCAATAGCATTACTTAACATCTCCATATACAAAACACACAGTGCCCCAAGCAGAAGCCTGAGAGTCTACATTGTGGATACTACACATGTATTATGATGAGTACCATCGGTGGCTACAACAGAAACCAAAATCTGGTAAGTTTGAACCTCTTCACTGGTAGTATGAAAAGTTCGCATATGTTGTGATATAGTAAACCTAAACTTGTTCTCTTATAGTTGGAGAAAGATAAAGACACGAGAAGGAACCCATACAAGGATGACGAGCTCTTAGAGATGGTCGGCGACCTTTGCAACTTCATAATGGACCAGATTGTGTATCATAAAGGCACTTACCATCATCTTCTTTCCGACTTAGGTAGTAATCCTCTATACCAACACCTTTGGGAGACTGATAGGCTAGCCCTAGGCCGTTGATGACAATGTGGACTTGTGGTATGGTTTGGATCAGACTTTGAAACGGTTTGGACTTTGTTTTGCATGTGGACTTGTGGATTTCTTAATGGACTATGTTATAATGATGGACTTCCTGCTGTTCGAAACTGAGCTGCCAAACCCTAATGCAAGCTATCTGTATTCGGATCTAATCTAATTACATGTGTTATTATGCCTACTAACTTCGATTTTTTTATATAAAAAAAATTGTCGGCCCCAGCTTCGGATGTGTGGAACTGTAAGTCCCTCTTGGAGCAAGAGGGGAATCTCTTTTGATGTGTGCAGGTTGGTGACGGATTCCATCTCATATCTTGTATAATGTGTGCAGCCAGTCGGTGTCGACAATACTTCTAGGAGGAAATTTGATAAGGAAGAGTACTTGGAGAGAGCTCGACAGAGAGAGCTCGACAGAGGAAGAGTACTTTTAGTTCAGTAAATATGTAGTTGTTCTAGGTTTGGTTCTCTATTTGACTCCTTTCAATTTTGAATGCAGAAAGGGGTCCTCCTGTGCAAAGACAGCCTTTGAAGCACAGAGACTATGAAGTTGATCTTGATTCTCGTCTTGGCAAGACTCAGGTTTGTAAATATCCTACTATATACTTTGTGCATTTTAGCATGCTTTTTCTATGTTACTAAAATACCAAATGCTGTAGCAGCTACTTTGTCAATTATTTGTGCCCTGATTTTCTTGCCTCTAGTTTCATTGGTATTTTTGTGGGTTTTTTTCGACCATTACATGATTTGGAAAACTGTGTAGGGTGTACAAATAGAGGCAGATATGGTGCTATGGGTCTGATTGACTCTGAATTTCATTCAGTCCTTTATTGTGAACAACTTGCTTTTAGAAAAAGAACACCTTTCTGTTTCTAAAAGTTAATTAACTGCGCCTTTCATTATCTATTTTTCCAGGTGGTGACCCCGATTGCATCGTTGAATCAGCAGGTCTGTGCATAAATCCCATAAGGCATGTCATATAGTGTTTACAGTGATCTTGAAGTATTTTCATCATATCATAATTCTTGACAAAATTTTTTAGAATGTAGTTGCTTTGCTCCTTTGATAGTAAACATAGATCTTAGTAGGAGATACTTTTGTGTTCTTACCTCCTTTAAACTTTACCTACTTTCTGACAGGCTGGGTACTACTGTTCTGTATGTGAATGTGTTATTAAAGATTCAGCCAACTATTTGGATCACATAAATGGCAAGAAGCGTAAGTGGATAAGGCTCTAGTTTATGCTCATTTAGTGCATTAAATTTTGCTATCATCATCTTCATGTTTCATGGGTCATGGTTTTAACATGACAGATCAGAGAGCGCTGGGCATGTCTATGCGTGTTGAAAGGGCATCACTTGAACAGGTAGTACATTTGAGCCTGGTATTGGATCTGCAATTGAAAGTCAGCAATTTTATTCTTTTCATATTTAGTAGCAGACCCAAATTTTTGTCATGCATTTGGCTCCCTTTGGCACAGCTTCTGCTTGTGCAGAATCCAGCTTGTAGGAATAGCTTGTGAGAAGCAGAAGTTCAATTTCAGCCCTCTTAAGCTGCTTTAGAATCTATTCATTTGGTAGTACTTTGCTTTTTGTTTTTCCTGTTAGATGGTGAAGGAGAAACTATGCCAAAGAGGCACATCATGTCGTGACATTATTCTTATTGGTTCATGCAAGGCTAGTGAACAAATGCTTGAATAGTTAGTTTGTCATCCAATTTTCAGCCGGTGGTATTCTTTTAACCATCTGCTATTTGTTTTCACACTTCTGGCTGCAGGTTGAGAAAAGGTTTGAGGCACTTAAGAAAAGGAAGGACCCAAGCGCCTTTACTGAACAAGGTGAGAAAGAAAAAAAAGACAACATGAACCTGAAACGAGTTTGTAGTGAATTGCATACTATGTGCTTGTTGTGCAAAGGGCCTATTAGGACCTGTTAGGAAGCAGTAGCTTCATGTCCTTGTATTGACCAAGGACTTGTTAGGATCCAACTAGTAGCTTCATGTTAACCTGTTAGGAATGAAGCATTGTAAATTAAGTTTTCCCTCAACTTTATTTGATAGACTTTTGTGAATTATGACTTGTGATGATGTTCTAAATAATGGTCTTGTGTTTGTTGATGTATATATGTATATTTGTGACGGTCAGATTCGAATTTGAATTATATATATATATATGTGGTCAAATTTGAATTTAAATTATTTTTTTTTGCTGGAAAATCCACTGTAGGGGCGGTTCTTGATTGAACCGCCCTTATAAATACACACAGCAGGGGCGGCTGGTGATACAGCCACCCTTACAGAAGTCCACTACAGGGGCGGCTGAAAACACCAGCCGCCCCAACAGAGAGCACTGCAGGGACGGTCAGGAAATCACCCCTACAAGACACCCTCTGTAGGAACACCTTAGAAAGGACGGCTGGCGCAGCCGCTCCTATAGAGGCTCTAGAGCCGCCCCTACAATCAACTTCTATAGTAGTGTATTAGCCTGACTAGCTCTAGGACATATTTGCTTATCTGGTTTGTTCGATACAATCATCTTTTCTCAAAATTGGTAAGGTTAGTTTTGAGGCATTTCGTAGAGCAACGAGCAAGCAAGACGAGCACGGCGGCCAACAGCTGGCAAGCAAGACGAGCACGCGCGGCCAACAGCACGTAAGCAAGACGAGCATGTCAGCGGCAAGCCTTCTTGCGGCGGCCCAGCTTTTCTCTTACTCGATTCTTGCGGCGGCCCTCCTCGCGCAGCGACGCTACAGGGAGGTCGCGCTCCTCTTCGCCGCGGATGACGGCTTCCCGCGCTCTTCTTCGGCGTCAGTCTCGCGGAGGCCGTCATCTCGCGCTCTTCTTCGTCGTCGTCCCGCGGAGGCCGGGCACCGAGGCATCGTGGTTCGTGGATGCGGCCGTGGACGGCGGCGTGGAGGACGACGTGGCCGCGGCGGTCGCCAACACTGTTTCTATTTCCAATCGAGCCGTTTTGCTCAAACCGTCAGTCATTTCTCCTTCCAACCGGCCCCTTTGAATTTTCTTCGGCTTCGATTGGAAGGATGTGGTAGCGCACGCGACCTCCACCAATGTTGTTGTTTGGTCAAACGAACGAGAAATTGGTATTTGGAGGATCCCGTAGGGCTTGTTTCACGTATGCGCATCGTGGCAGCCCGTCTGCGTGACGTCTACCGGAGCCGGCCGGTCACGTACGGTGAGCTGGCGACTGCGCGGGAATGCACGCTAGACGCCAGATGCAAGCGAGAGTGTGTGTCTGCTACGGACTCTGTTGTCTGTTCGAGAAGGAACGCCCCTGGTGCAATCTCCTCTTGGAGGACCTCCAGACATTGTGGAAGAGATAAACTTTGCTTCGTCCCTCTTGGTTTCTCTATTATTCGTTACAATACTGCCGTTAATGTGGATTTGGGATATTTTCAGGTGAAAACAGACTGAACTTCAGTTCAAACAACTAGCCGAAAAAAATTGAAGACGGCCATGATTATGCTGGCACGCTTTCATTATATATCTATAAGAATAAGTGTAACATTACATCTAAAAATGATCGCCAATAATTCTCGCGACAATGCGCGGGGAACACACATAGTAATCTTACTAATTGAAATTAAAAGAGAACGAAACATCGTTTTTATTATTGCCTAACTTCCTCTCAAAGGAAACCACTGCACCGTTTCTTTTTCGTAAAGGAGTGCTTTATTAATTGATTACTGCATATATAACGCCTTCATGCAAAGAAGATGTTCGATAAACTCTAGAAAAATTACCTAAACAGTTAAACCTACTGGTACCTGCCTTGTAGCTTTTTTTCAAAGAGAAGATAACTTTTTAATTTCTTAAAAAAATGATCACATTCCCAAGCAATAATATGCTCTTAACACACAGGAGAACGCAGACAGACGCCACACCGCTGTGCACTATGTTTTGCCAGTTGTGCAAGTTTATGGGCCACGCTATGCCCCAACGCTGCATGTATAGTATGTTTCGATAGTTGTGGGAGTTTATAGGCCATACTATTTTGCTCCCTTCTCAAATGCATCAACGATGAGTTCCCACAACATCTCTCCTGCCTTTTCCTAGATGATGTGATGTAGCTTTTCCCTCGTTGTATGCTAATTTATGACCAAGCTTGAATGGAATCATCAACCTAATAAGGTCAATTTATCAAACTATAGTGAGGTTAAAAGGAGTCATGCTTTTTCAAATGATGTTTTCCAATCATAGTGGCATCACAGCACATAAGTTTTGTCATCGTCTCGACGAAACACTGTCCTTTCTATACAGTTCTAAGTGGTATGCTTGTCTGAGAAAAGCTTCCTCACCATTAACACCCACTAGTATATATATATAGAAGATGTGTGTACATGCCCGTGCAAATGAGGAAGTATGAAGGTTTCGTGTTTGATCGGAGAAGATCAACATGATAAGATCGGCTTATCCAAGCAAACAGTGTTAGGACTTCCAGTGGTACCAATCACAAGATCAAAATATAGCGAGGTTTAAAAGGAGTCATGCTATCTAAAGACCTTTAGAGCATCTCCAAGAGTTCTCCTAAACTTAATTTTCCTAAATCCTCATAGGGTACATCCTAACAAAAAATCCTCTCTAAATATTTCTCTTCTTCAACAAGTACCCTATCTCAAATAATATATTGAAAGGACAACATGACATCCCAAATTTGAGAGGGAGTGAGGATAATTTAGGATACCACTAAATATAGGATGTCGAATAGGGAGACCGTTGGAGGGGTGATTTTCTTTACATAAACCTTAATTTTGACTGTAGGAGGATATAGAGTGGGGAACTCTTGGAGATGCTCTTACATTTGTAGTGGTATCTTAGTAGGATGGAAGCTTCTTCACTATATCAACAAATTGTGTATTCTTTTTATACTATTCAATAGTGGTAACATGGTTGGATAGAAGCTTCCTCACCATCTCAACAAAACACTATCATTTTCATATATAAAGATGAATATGCACCCTATTTTGCAGCACCCACCACCACATAGGATACAAGTTTCCCTAGAAGCACTAAAGATTCCTAATGCTTGATTTGGCATTTTTAGAGCAACTCAGAAAGCTTGGTAAATAAACTCACTGTTCGAGATTTTTGGCAAAAGAAAAAAAAACTCTCCTCCAACAACATATGGTAAAATGAAGTTGCTAAATCATGCCTCCAACTCGTAACCCTCCGTGCCAGATACAAGCTTTGTATCTAAAAAACTCTGTAAACTAGCTATCTAGGAGCCAAGCTCCAAGTGTTGGCTTTGCTCTCTTTTGCTCTCTATTTTGAGTTTCACTCAACCACCAAATGAATTTCACATTAAGGATCAAATCTCACTAAGAGAAGTGTGGGGAGTGTTTCCAAGGCTTTAGAATGTGTATGGGATGCACCAGAATCAACAGCCCCCAAAGGAGAGGGCTTGGGGGTATATATACCACCTCAACAACTAGCCAATGGAGAGCTGCAGGCACATACTGGAGCGGTCCGGTATGCATGCACTGTCATGCACTATTAGCTCAAGAACATGTCTATCCCCAAAAATTTTCCAAACAACCCCCTGAAATTCTAGTAAATAGAGTCAATACAACCTAGGAGCCCCTACTCGGAAATTCCAACGAAGAAACCCCAGAATTTCCGAACAAACTAAAACACTAAGGTTCATACCTGTCCCATCAAACTTTGTTATCCCCTCGTGGCACTCTCTCTCAAACCTCACATGGGTTGGTTTGAGAACTTATATACAATGAACTATCATCATATTGCATCCCTCTTAAATGTACGACTTACATATTAACTCAAGTTTAAATGAAAAACTGAACTCAAACCTCTTGAGTTAGATTCCATCCATCAATTCCATATCTGCCAATCTTCATCAATAAAGGATGCCAACATGTTCATCTTGATTTTAGCTTGAGCATATCCATCTTGAGCATGTGATTTGATGCAATTCAATTCATATGAATTAATACAATGGCATCAAGTCACTTTCTTTAAATGATCCAACAATGATTTGATCCTTCTCACAACATAACTTCTTCTAGCTTGATTAGTGACAAGACTAAATTCAAGTACTCTCTTCTTCACCACATGCATGGTTCTTGGTGCCTAAGCTGTCGCTTGTCCTTCACCTTCACTTGGTCCTTCGAAGCCCTTTCCTTGCTATCTTCACCCTCTCAAGCCATTCCCAGTCACATCGTGATTTGTATCAACATTAAGCATACATTGAAATCCATATAGTGAAAACCATCTTCATCAATATTGATTTCTCTAATCAAGCTCTCTAAATGAGACCACTCTAGATGCAAGACCTCATGTCTCATATAACCTTCTCAAATATGCTTGCTTTCATATGACACAGAGATATCCCATAATATATAAGCCATTTCATCAATTCCATTCACATTGTTGTCTTCTGCTTGAACTATATTATTTTCACAGCAATACATCATTTTGTATTTTTATTTCAATACGATATGGAACATCATCAAGTTTGCCTTTATCATTTAATCTTTGATACACTTCAAATGTATAAAATTTCATATCCCAAGTCTATGTAATTGACGGACCAGTATCCTAAGGGTCCCCCATAGGGCTGACTTCCCGACAAGGAGATGGGCCGGCCCAAAGTCTGCCTAGGGAGTGTGGAACAAGGTGGTGTGTTCTCGAAAGCTACAAGGACCGACCTAGTTAGATTCTAGGAAAGTTAGTTTATGTAATAGAACTAGAACTCCTCTGTTGTATCCGACTAGGATTTAGCATATGCGTCTGCCCTCTGTACTATATAAAGAGAGGCAGGAGCACCACCTTGTACAACATCTCATACACAACAATCCAACGCAAGGCATCGCGCCTAACTGGATGTAGGGTATTACGTTATTTTAGCGGCCTGAACCAATATAAGTCGTTGTCTTTGCGTTCGCCATCGAGTTCAGCCTTCGTCGAAGCCCACCAAACATCGCCCCGAGTAGCCCATGACATGTTGTTAGTCATCAGACACCGACAATAATATAATCAATTACCTATTCAACACTTAGCAAACTTATTAGTCCTTTAATCATGTTATCATTCAATCAACCAAAAACCCATAAAAGGGTTAGATGCACCTACAAATAGTAGAGGTGATGGTTAGGGTTTTTGGGTGGCCGAATCAAGTCTGTTCCATAGTCCACCTTGTAGGGTCGAGATGGCGGACTAGAGGGGGGGGGTGAATAGTCCATTCTAAAACTTAATCGCGCTGGCTAACCGAAACAAATGTGGAATTAAAACTATCGGTCTAGCCAAGACTACACCCCTCTATCTAAGTTCACAAGCACCTTATAAAGATCCTAAAGAGGCAACAAAAGGTGCTGGGTAAGCTAGTGCTCACCTATCCAATTCTAGCTTGCAAGGTCACACAAACCTATGCAACTAGTACTTCAAGCAAACCGAGGAGCACCTACACAATCTAGTAAGCAAAAGCACAAAGCCACCTAAGCTCACTAGCAATGCTCAATAACATGGCTACACAAGCCAAATTAGAGAGCGCAAATTACTTAGCTACACAAACTAAGTAATGTGACTAACAAGGTTACTAAAACCAAATTAGTCACGCAAGGGAACTACTTCTATGCTACACAAGCAAGAAGGTAATTAGCAAGCTACACAAGCTAACTAATTACAAGAGCAACTACACAAGCGCAATGTATGAAATGTAAAGACAAGTTTGTGTTGCGCGGAATGCAAACCACCAAGAAGATGAAGACAATGTTGACACGGTGATTTTTATTTTCTAGGTTCACTTGGTTGCCACCAAGCTACGTCCCCATTGTGTCGACCGCTCACTTGGTGGTTCGGCGGCTAATTGACAGTACCCGCCAAGCCCACACATTGGGCACCGCAAGAACCTACCCCAAAAGTGAGGGTAGCTCAATGACACGCTCTACTAGAGTTGCTCTTCGTGATCCCTGCGGGGTGAGCACAATCCCCCTCACAAATCCTCCTCCGGAGCAATGCACAATCTTCTCGCGTGCTTCAACAGAGTCGCAAGCCACCAAACCATCTAGGAGGTGGCAACCTCCAAGAGTAACAAGCACCACCGGCATGCAACACAATCACTTAGTGCCGCTCGATGCAACCTCGCGATGCAATCGCATTAGAATCACTCACACACTCGATCGGATGATCACTATCAAGCGTATGTGAGTTAGAGGGCTCCCAAGCACACCTACATAAGACACCAAGGCTTAAGGGTGCTCAGCTGCGGGCTTAAGGCCGGCCACCACTTCTATTTATAGCCCCACGGGCAAAACTAGCCGTTACCCCCTCACTAGGCGTTTTTTGGGCTGACCGGACGTGCCGATCGTGATGACCGGACGCGCCGGCCCAGCGTCCGATCACGCTACGCCGTCCATGTGTCATCCATTGTTCAACCCTAGTCGCGCAATCCCAATGGCTCACTACCGCCCGCGCACAC